GTTTTTAAATTTGGACTCCACACAAAATAAAACCATATACTAATGCATAGAATGATAGTGGTGTCAAAATAAGTTTTAAACCTCAGTCAGCTTTGTCTTGAAGAAACCATGCTCTTTCCTACTCATACTCCTGGAAGCAATTTAAAATGAGAATCATGGGTATGGTTGCCCCAACTACTGTGATTTTTTTGTTTTTTTCCTAGCTTTCCCTTTTCCTGGGCATGTTTTGTTCAGAATTGTTGCTGTTGCTGTTTTGGGGGGTTTGGCTGTTGAATATCAGTAGAGTATTTAATTCCTTATTCCTGTATATCTGAAGAATCCACTCAGGAGGTCAAATTAGTTAATTAAAGAAGATTTCCTCTTCACTGATCTGAAGTATGCTCATTGCAACAGCAGGCACATACAGTCTGAAACAGATCTTAGTGATGAATCTCAGGTTGTTTCAGACTGTGGTATTCCAGGAAAATGCTAACGCTGCATACAGACACTGGGAAACCTGGTGGCCCTCTGGGAAAATTCAGATTGATTTTTACCAGGCTCCTAACAGATGCTGTTCAAATATGTTAGACCAAAACTGGAGTGTCTAAAGTTAGACTAAGTACAGATTTAGGAGTCTTACTAAATGAAGAAATCGTGACGTGTGTTACTGTCTATCTTCAGCTCCCATTTAAGTTAGTGGGATTTGCATTTAATCAACAGCCTAAAAGGTCAGTCATCTTTTAAATAGAAACACAGTCTCAGTTTCAAAGACCAGGAACAGGTAGTTTAGGCTTGTAAGAGTCTTGCAGTGTGTGAGTATTATCTAAAATTTTTTAAGAGAGAGAGCATGGTAAAGCCAATTGGTCTGCTTGAGTTGAGACTGGCTTTCTAACCAGATGTGGTAGAGAGCAGAGAGAAGGAGAAATCATATTTTGCTACTTGGGTTTCTCCCAGATTAATTAAGGAAAAAAGTTAACTTGTTGCTTTTCATATCCCTAGATGGTGTTATTAGAGTGTATAGTCTGGTCGTGCCCCAAGAAAGCAAATTTCAAATATAATATAAATGAAATGCAAAAAACCCCACATACTTTTGAGAAAATCCCTTGTCCTCATCTTGTCAAGAGAACTCTGTTGGCACATCTGTATAACATCTTTCAAATTCTGTTGACTTATGAGGTCAGTTTTTATTTTGTCAGTAGGTTGCAATATTTGAGAAGTAACTTTTAGGCTGCTGCTCCTGAATATATGCAACAGTTACAACTGCAGAATATACAGAGCAGATATATGTTGCAGAATATATACAGCAGAATACAACAGCAGTTGTATTTTGGCATGTATACATATTGTATATAAACATGCCATCTTGAAAGGCTTTAGTTGGACTTGGCAGCTTATCAGGCCTTTATTCATTTTATTTAGATGAAGTCTCAGGAGTATTCTCACCTGTATGAGAGTATTATATGATGTGCATATATACTGATAGGCAATGTTATTAAAATTAACTTTTTGTTCTATTTTTGATAGCCATTAAATTATGTGTTGATCAACAGGTTGTGCCAATTTGAATCTAATATTCAGCTTTTCAAATATTTCACTTAACTTTGTGAAATACTGTAGCTTTGAAATCCACGCTAAATTGGGAGCCAGCTGAGCTGTCAGTGACACACCCTCATGGTCCCAGCAGCAAACTGCACACTGGACCCAGCGTGAAGAGGGAACCATCTACTTGATACTTGTGGGGCTGCACTGGAGTGGTGTTTAGCACGGAGAAGAGAAGGTTAGGGAGGAATCTGCAGGCTCTTTCAACCTAAAGAGAAGGTCACCCTCCTTCCAGACATTCACAGCAATAGGGGAAGAGGCAACGTCACAGCATCAAGTGAATTTCGTCAGAGAAAATTCGTCATGAGAGTGATTTTTGAGCTCTGTAACTGGTGGCCCAGAGGCTGTGAGCTCTCCCTCCTTTGAGACTTTCAAAACTTGCTTTGGCAAGGCCCTGAGCAACCTGATTAAACTTAAAAATTATTTCTGTGCTAAACAAGTGTTTGTTTTTTTCTTCGTTTCTTTTTTTCCTCCTGTGATTCTATGTAAAGTTGAAAGCAAGTTTTAAGTTTTATGTAGATCATTACTCACTTCTTAATGGGAATATGTAAACTGATGGGATTGCAGTCTAGATTTCATAAACCCTACTGAAATGCCTTTAAATCCTTGATTTAATGATCTGTTTGAATGTTCATCTTAATCTCTTCCATGCTGTAGATGCTGCACAAACTTAATTTTAATTTATTTTTTTTTAGTTTGTTTTTGAAAAACGCTGTCAGAAATAAAACCTCATAGTTGACCCAGAAGACCTTGACTGACTTGAGGGTTTGTGTTAGGTGTTGATGTCTGTCTGCTAAGGTGGCTGTGCTGCTGCAGGTCTCTTTTGTACACAGGCCAATGCTGCGACATCATCTTTCTTTTAGCTAGAAGTACTTGCCATAGGTCAGCTTTGCTGTTGCAGCACTCTTTGAATTTAACTCCATGGGATAATTCTGTCTTGACTTGGTGCTGTTAGCTATGTGAGGTCTATTGATGCGGGCCACCAGATGAAACCAATATTTCTCCAAAGTAATTATTTTTTGTGAAACGAGATTTTATTGGAGCTATTCTGTTTCTGCTGCGTGTACTGTTGCTTCTTCTGTATAGAAAGAGGTGGGGGTTTTTTTAAAGAAGAAAATATATTTAAAGTCTACCAATGCATTTCTAGTTCTGTTATGTTTTGCTATGGGATCTTCTGCTATGACACCAAATAACAGTATGATACGTGAGAGCTTTTGTCCTCATAAAAAGTAGAGAGCTTTTTGCAGAAGTTACTGGTATAGAACTCAAAGCCAGCAGCAGCTTCCAGCTTTCCATACTCACTGTTTATTCTCTTAAGATAAATCATTTGACTTTGAGTTTGCATTACTGACAGATCAAGCTGCCAGTGTAAACATTGTAGGATTGAGTATTTTGAAAGATGTGTGTAATTTTGTGAAGGAACTGAACCCGCAAGTATCCGGAACCAGTGTAATGTTGCGTGTGTTCAAATAATATTTTGCAATGTTCATGAGAAAAGGAAGTAAGTATTTAGAAAACTATTGGTGAAACGGTAACAGTTTATGTTTCTTAATTTTTGTTTACTGAAAATTATTCTTGACACATGGAGCTTTTACTTGAATTTCCATGAAAAGTTGATCCTGGAAGTAGAAGAGACACACTTGTGTTACTGTACAGCCAAAAAATGCCATGATTTATAGTTGGGTAACCTTTCAGTTTACTTTTGACAGTAGAATTGGCGCTAGAGTGAAAATGTTTTGGTTTTTAGTCTCAGAGTTTGGGGTCTATTTGTGAAATACCCAACATCTTCAGTTTTTAAAGGAAATAGTAAGTAGTTTTCAGCTTCTGAACATATGTCCATTTATTAAAGATGGAACCTATAAAATTTAGAGTTTTAAACTGATCTTCACCACCCTTCGTTAAAATGCTTTTCCTTTCTTAGTCCTCACTGTCAAATTATCATTTTCTTTGTTAACATTGTGGGGTTGATGATACATTTTGAGCAGAGGTTCATCCTGGGAGGATGCTAAACTTTCATAAAAAGCAAGGGACCATCTGCTCTTTCACTCAACAAAACCAGTTTGGTTTAGGTGACCCTACACTCAAAATCCAGAGAAATAAATTCCTAGTAAAACGTAGTACTTGTACCTGCACTACTGAATGCTGGTTATTATTTTTCTTGATTTGAATTTTTTTTCTCCACATGTAGACCTTGCAGACACTTGTTGGTCAGTTCAGGTCTCCTGTAACTTTAATTAGCAATACGTTATGCACAGAAAACTTTAGGAGAGCAAATAAATAAAAATAGAACCAAAAGGTATCTTTCTTTTATGTAAATATACTTGAAAATATAGTTGAAAAATTTATGCAACTTTGTATAGATCTTGCTATAGAGAAAAGTAGAAGATTCCCCCCTACTTAAGTGCTAGGTTTGGAAGATATTTCTTTCTTCTTTTCTGTAAAGATCTAAACACGTGCTTGGCTAACACTGCCCAATAGCCAGTATCTGTAGCATGAAACACGTTCCTTAACTGATTCATGTTTTTGAAGGTACTCTGTACTAAATTATGTACTGAAGGAATTGTTCTGATACTTGGATACAGATCAAAATTTACATGTTACAAAGTTGTGGGAAACAAAATTTAAAGAAAAATATATACTGGTTATATGTTTGTATTATAGGTCTTGGCAATAATGTTTAACTTGACTACATATAATAAAGACTTAATGGGAAAATTTAATAATATTAATTTTTTATTTGTTTAAAAAACTTGGTCACTGTGTAATCAGGTTTTACATAAAATTGTGGAAAATCAAATTGATCTTATACAGCTGTTAAAGTTCTTTCAAAGAATCACTTTTATGTGTTTATGAATGACTTAAACAGGGCAAGCTGTGGTATTTTCTAACTGAAGTTTTTTGTACTATTTGGTATGAAAGGACAGTGCTAGAGGGGGAGGATGGTGAACAGTGAGCTGGGTGAGTTATCAGATTAAGATGGTAAAAAGCAGATTTGAGCTTTCTTTTAATTATTGCATTAGATGTATTTAGCTGTCATTCCAACAGAATGAAAAATTTGTCTGGAGCACAGTAATTCAGCAACACAAGTGACAACATTTGTGAAAGATTTGTGTCTTTTTTTTAAAGTGGTTATGAATTAGACTCTGTAGAACAGGTGCTTTGAAGCTGTAACTTACAATTTCTTTTATCCATTGATCCATTTAATTTATTAAAACATTAGTTGTTGGTTCATAAGGTTTAAAATAATGTATTGAGAGCTGTTTCTTCATTTTGTCCTCCTGAAATATTTAAACAGACTATTGTGTTCATATCCCTGAGAAATCTGGTTTATAAAGTGTTTCGTTTCATGTTTGTTGCGAATTTAGATTTCTGGTTTTGTCTGAGGCTACTACATGGTTAAAACAGCTACTCTTCCTCCACAGGCCTACGAAGAGTACACCAGCAAGCTTGATGCTCTACAGCAGAGAGAACAGCAGTTACTGGAGTCCATGGGGAATGGAACTGATTTCTCTGTCTCCAGTTCAGCTTCAACAGACACAGTTGCATCATCTTCCTCCTCTAGCCTCTCTGTAGCACCTTCATCCCTTTCAGTTTATCAAAACCCTGCTGATATGTCACGGAATAACCCCAAGTCTCCACAGAAGCCTATTGTTAGAGTCTTCCTGCCCAACAAGCAAAGGACTGTGGTGAGTCAGTTTCTATTCACATACTTGTAAGCTCAGTATTTCCTGTATCTCTCTCCCTCTGTATGCAAAAGTTAAGAGCTGAAAAAATACCTGTGTGGAGGTCAGAGAGGTGTCACAATCACTGTGCTCTGCAGTGCTCCATTATTTTGATCTGTTGAGTGTTTTCTACAGGATTAACACAAAAAAGTCCATTATAGCAGTAATGCAGAACAGAAAACTTTCAGGAGTTTTATAGCAATGAAGATAACTCCAGAAATATTTTTCTCAAGTCAGCTTTCTTGGATAAATAATAATCTACCATTTTACGATGGTTTGGAAGGGGCAGGAAGCTCTGTTTCCTGTATTACACAAAAGTATTGATTAGTTTAACAGGCCAAGACTGGGAAGTGTTTTCTATGTTGTCAAAGTTACTGCAAGCCGTGAATGCTTTAGAGCAAGAACCTGCCTCCTGCAACTGAGGAGGCCTGTACAAATGCACATGGGTTAGTTTGTTTTTCTTTTCCTCCCCACTTGCTGTGGTGTTTCCTGTGAGGACCCTGATGCGATCAGGCCCCATCCCAATGTAGAGAACTGGCATGGGGAGGGACATAGTTGCTATTGGGAGGGTCAAGAAGTGTTGCCTGCAAACTGCTCAAAACCTGATGTTTATCAGCTTTGACAATGTTACAGTGATTCCTGAAGTCTTGGAAGAGCAGTTGATTTTTTGCTGACTGTTTAATTATCTGCTGTAAGAGGGACTTCTTTAGCAGTTAAGAGCTGCCAACTGAAGAGCCTTGATATGTGTTTTAGAATAATACACTGCAAACTGTGACATGTGAAATTCCTGACAAGCCATAGTCTAGGCTCTGTTTTGCAAGGTGGGACATACTCTGAACTTAGCAGGGGAGCTGTGTTTCCAGAGAAAGTGGGAGATGAATGGACAACCAGTGTCCATGTCAAAACAGTGCTTTTTGTAGCAGTCAGGCAGGTATCAACTGTCTCTGGGCTGTGACTTCCATCCTTTCCCCACCCCACTAAACAAAAGACTCACAGTGAGGGCAGTTGTTTTCACCTGAGTGTTTTTAATGTTGTTTGATTGTTAAAGATATCACTAAAGATTGAAAGTACTATTTGGTTTTGGACCTAGAGAATGGGAGTTTAATGTAAACTGTGACCACTGTGCAGATGTACAGTGTTAAGCCAGGTAATTTTGTTGTCTGCCTGTTGGAGTAAGTCTAGGCACATAGTACTACCCACATAGTGAAATCTGAAGAGAAGGTACTGGATTTTGGTTTCTTCATATGTTCTGTCCTACTCTGTCTGGATGTTGGAGCTGCAGCCCTTGACATGGGGCTCACAAGTTTGTTTTGCTCCTCTCCTACATTGGGTCACAATATATCACATCCTGCATTGTTCTGTGCATTACCTTTTCTTTCTCTCCTATGTGTTTTCTTGTCCTCCTCTCTAAGCCACATAGTATAATTCTACTCATATTCTTTTTCCACCATCTGCAGTATTCTCGTTCTGCTTTATCTCTCCTCATTTCTGCCTCCTCAATCCTGGGTTTTTTTCCTGCACTGAATCTAGATGTTCTTTCCCGGTTATGGGAAGCAAATGTGGTTTAACAGGGAGAGGCTCTTGCTTCTGTCCCCAGCGTTCTACTGGAGGCTAAACTCTATTTCCCTTACAAGTCTAGCCCTGTAGCTTATTACCAGCTTAATAACTGTGAAGCACTAAGAGTAAAGCTTCAGGAGAATCTGCAGGCTTGGGCTGTGATTTGAAAAAAACAAAAAGTGGTACCAACAAAAGAGGAGGAGAGAGGCTACTGGTGTAGTCAAGGTTCCTTTCATCTCAAATGTGGTATGACTGTAGATACATGTGCATAAAGGAACAGAAAGATGCCTGCAGATGCAGGGAGGCATGACCTTACTTGTGGGATCACTGGCTGGAAGCTCAAGTTGACAGGATTCAGCTTCGTATGCTGTATAGCAAGGTCCAGGTCAACTCCAGTTCTGCTGGGACCTGGTTTTGGTTAAAATTATTATTCTAAATAAGCAGTTGGACATATATCACAGAATATGCTGTTGGGAGGGACCCACAAGGATCATTGAGTTCAACCCTTAGCCCTGCACAGGGTCATCCCCAAGAAGAATCATGCCATGTACCAGGAGTATCATCCAAACACTTCTTGAACTCTGTCAGTCTTGGTGTTGTGACCACTTCCCCGGGGAGCCTGTTGCTGTGCCCAACCACCCTCTGGGTGAAGAACCTTTTCCTAATATCCAACCTAAACCTCCCCTAATACAACTTCAGGCCATTCCCTTGGGTTCTGTCACCACAGAGAAGAGATCAGTGCCTGCCCCTCCTCTTTCCCTCACAAGGAGAGTGTAGACTGCAATGAGGTAAGGTCTGGTCAGCAGATACTGCAAATTAATGGTTTGGCTTTGGTTCAAGGAGAGAGCTGACTTCTTTTTACTTCAGTTTTACACACTGCTTGGATCTAGTTGCGTTACTAAGTTGAACTTTTTTTTTTTTTTAATACACTAGTAAATTATCTCTGTTTTAGAGCTGGGAAATGGTGCTTATAGGAACTCTGAGTGTTGGGGTTATTGGCCTTGGAGCTGAAGTTCATTTCTCTGAAATTTGAAACAGTGCTCATGTTATTGAGAAAGTCAAGAATTTCTTTTATGGTGACTCTTAATGTAATTACTTTGTTTTCAATATTTATTGATCCTGTGTGTAGTCTGTTGAAAATTAGGGAAATGCCAGAAGCAAACACAATTCAGAAGGAATTGCAGCAGCTCGCTGTATCCGTGGGTGCATCAGGCTCAGCATCGCTAGCTTGGTTGAGAGAGGTGATTCTCCCCCTCTACTTGGTGCAGCCTCACCTCGAGTGCTGTGTGCGTTTTTGGGTGGCACAATATAAGATTCCATGATTTAAAGTGCAGTTTTAATGGCCAACAGTCAGATGATGGGTTACCAGCCTAAAAAAGCACCCAGCATTTTTCAGTGAACACTGAGATTACGTGCCATAGCAGACTTCCTTCATTCTCTCAATGGATAGAGGAGTGTTGCACATGTCTTAGTCTTCCTTCATAACCTCTGGCTTTAAAAGCAGACCTGCTGTGTCTCACTTGTGCCCATTGACTGAGCCATTTGCTATGATGGTAATTTAGGGTGTTCAGATACACAAAGGAGCTTGTGAGAGGTTGAAGCAGGAAGAAGATTCTTTGTGCAAATATATGGTACCTGCCATTAGAGCCTTCCCCAAGTCCCCATTCCATGTGGCTGTGAAATAAGGATAAGGGGTTTGACAATCAAAATTGTACCCAGGAAAGGAGATACTGTTAAAGTTGCAGAGTTGCAGCAATCTTCTCCCCACTCTGACTTTAACTGCTTTCAATTAATATCCACTTCTGAAAAAAAACTTTGTTAATATCCGAATAATATTTTCAGTCTCTACTTCCAATCACAGCTTCACTTCAGCGGGAGAGAAATGTTGTCAGATCCTAAGGACTCTATGTTTATTTTTGTCTGAAAATGCCATGACAATTCTTAAACTGACTCAAAGTCACTGGAATTGAGTTGGTAATGGAGAGCCAACCTCATTATTTGTCTTTGATCATACTCTGAAGCAGTCCAAAGTACTACGACAGCCTTCTGCTATTTGTTTAGAGCTGTTAAAAATGCAGGAAATGGGGGGGAGTTGCTTACATATCTTACATTTTTGATTAGCAACTGCCTTGTTACTTGAGAGTTGTCTACGTGTTTTGTTTATGTTTATTATTAGTATTGTTTGCGTGTAGGATCAAGCAAATACATCTGTTGGAGTTGACTCCAATTAGAAACGCAGTTTGGGGAAGCTGATGGAGTAAAGAGAAATGAGACCATGTTGTTCAGTGTAAGTGATTTTGGTGAAGAGGCAGTGTAGCTGATGGAAAGTTTCTGCAGAGCACTGGACAAACCTTTTCCTAATGTAGGAAAGCCTGGCCAGTATGGGGTAGAGCCTACAGATGATGATCAATTAGCAGTTTGAAGTCAGCATTTTGATTCAACTGTCTACAGGGCAGAGTTCAAATGTAACTTTTTTGAAAGCAAAACCAAATAACTGTCCTGGTTAGCTGGAGGGGATTCAAGGAATGAGTAGTGTCAGAAGATTTTTTTTTTCCTTGTAGTTGGCCTGGAAAGGGATGAAGAGAAGTTTTTCTCTGAACAACCTCCTAGAAGAAGCGACAGATTTGTTTGCTCTTCTCTGGGGGGGGGGAAGTTTTTCCCCCTATAATGCAGAGAGATATATATGTGTACTTCATCCTTTCTCAGTGGCTTGGGTCAGCTGACAAGTTACATGTCCTTTGGAGAAGCATTCTACACAGATGTGACCAGGAAAAGTCGGTGCAGCTGGCTTTGTCCTGTTTTGTTCTAGGCCAGAGAGAAGGGTGTTGAAATAATAAACGTGAAAGATGATGAAAGTCTACCTAAGATGAAAAGTTGTTTTGCAGAACAAATTGATGAAGCTTATCCAAATTGTGGCAGAATTTAGGGAGATATTAGTTCAAAACTTCTTTGGACTAGGAATATAAGTGGCTGTGGTGTGGAAAGTAACAAATCTGCTAATTGAGAAAGAGCTTTTGGGTGTGGAAGGAAAGTAAGAACTCTGATCTCCAGCTGGCTGCTGGAGGTCTGAGAGGTTGTTAGATACTAAGATTTGGTGGAAGGGAGGTAGGCTTGAGTGGAAGTAGCTGACAGTGTGGTATCATAAAAGCATTTTACATTATTTACTGATGAGACTTTTGAGAGACTGCATGGAGAATGTAGGAGGCAGAATACAGTGAAAAAATTTTTAAAATGAAATGAAGGAGTTCCAGGCAGTGAGCATAAAAAGCTTTCTATGAGTATGAAGATTACAGGAATATGGTATTTGCATCTAGGGCTGGATTTAAGCATTTTATACGATCGCTTCTAGTTGTGTGATTTTTTTTTTTCTCTTCTCTTTGAGGGTTTGAGGGAAGTGGTTTTTGAGA